AGAGAGAGAGAGAGAGAGAGAGAGAGAGAGAGAGAGAGAGAGAGAGAGAGAGAGAGTTCCATCGATAGGATGAGCAACGCACTGGCCGCGCCGTTCATGATTGCAACCAGTATGATTGGTTGAGCCTTGTTGTGCAAGAGAGAGTGAAAGGTTAATGAAACGCACAAAGTCAGCGCAAGTCCGAAGTGTCGTTTCAACCACTGCCCAAGCCTGAGCACTTTCGTCGGACGGAAGTGTACTTTCAACCACTGCCCAAGCCTGCGCACTTTCGTCAGCCCCTGCCCCCGACCCCGCGCGCCCTTTCCATTTGCCCCTTCTTTGTCACCGCTTCAATTTTGACCAAAACCTGTTCTAACCAAAACCCAAAGCCCGGTCCCACCGACAGCTACCGGTCCCTCATTTTTCAAACAAACTGGCACCACCCCCCAAAGTGTCATACCTGCACCTTCCTGCATTTTTCGAGTCTCCCAACGACCAAACGACCCGTAATGAACGACCGGTATAACGAAGGACGACGAAAAAATGTCTCCATGTCTCAAAGGGGGAATAACGCACCCCTGACTGGCGGGCTGCGAACATGCTGACCTTGAGAGAGTTGGAAGGTGCCTAAACCAACCGTGAACGAGGTGTGAGCCTCGGTACGACGCTCGTTAAAAATAAGGAGTGTAAACCCCTCGACCACGGAAGTCGAGGGATCGGGTCAACTGGGTTAATATTATGTTGGGCAAGCCTACGACGTGCACGGAAATACTTAAGCGTCAGTATTTTTTTATCGGGCTGAAATTAATTTAGGCCTCGAGCATACGGCGGGGGCAGCCATGAAGGCTTGGATACCTATTGCGGTCCGGCTAAGGCCAAGGATCGGGCTCAGTTCCCTTAGGAAATGAGGCATAGGCCCGGATCAATAGTTAGTCTATGTCGCATTTTTTACAATTATTTGAGAAACTCTTCTTTAAACCGAACCAAGAGTTAGCTCGATAGGTTTAGGGGTGGACTCCCATATTGAAGATGTAACCACGGAGATTAACTTTTTTTTTCAATACCGAACCAGGAGTGCACTTTCACCCGGGCTCAGTCGGTCGTGTCTCGAACCCGTAACCTCGTATTAAAATTTAGTTACGATTAACTCCGCTAAAAGGGGGACGTGACACTTGACTTGTACGTACAGATAGTAGTTGGGTTTTCCTTTTATTATTTTTCAAATATTAGTTAGATTCGTTTTCTTTTATTTTTATTAGTTTTTATTGATTTTTTTATTTTTTTTTATTCCGTGGTTACTCTTTCTTATAATTACTTTAGTGAATCATTCTCTAAGACCAGGCAAATTCAGTCTTAAAAACAGACACTAACTACATGTCGCGATCGAGGTACCCTGCCCCACAACCAACGTAGGAAGTCACACATGTGGACGAGAGAGCAGATTCTTGTGATAAGATGGAGTGGAACATCGTGAACAAGAGAGAACTAGCGAGCACGTAACAACAGAGATGACGCACGGGGAGCAGTGGAGAGATTGTGCGATGGAAGCAGCAAGGTAGCAGCATGCGGGGAAGGGGGGGGAAAAAAAAAAGGAGGGGTGGAGGCGACTTACCTGTCGCCCATTCTGAACTTCGACACCCTCATCCCGTAAAGGGTGGTTGTGACTTTGTTGTAGGTGTTGTCTTCGTGTCCGCACTCAAAGTGACGCATTTCGTTCGACATGAGAGGTGTCGCGACTTGGTAGGGAGGCTCTGCGCTCCTTGTTATCCGAGTGGTGCCGAAGACAGGTGGCGCAGGTGCCACGGCCCTGCATCCACACTAGGTTAATGAAAGGCCAAAAATTCGATGTTTTTCGCCGCATCGCTACAAGCAATGTTGTCGAAACGTTTGTGAACAAACTATGCAGGATCATAATACAAACATAAAAAAAAACAAATATGCAAAAAAAAAAAAAAAAAAAAAAACCCTCAAAATCACTATAAAAACCTATTCGGAGTAGCTTTCGGAGTTCGCCGAATCTTTCTTTGAGTCCGCCGTTTTTGTTAATTTTTTTGTTATTGGTCCGAATACGGCAAAACTGAATACAAATATATCCTAAAGCACATAAATATCAGGCAAAAAAAAAAAAAGAAAAAAAAAAGTAAAAATTCAGGAAAATATGGCAGTTTCGGTAAACAATTCGCTAAAATTTGATAAAAACATCGCCATAATTCACCAAATTTTTGGCTTTCTATTAACCGCTTCTTTATTGCATTGTGGAGAGAGGAGTGGTGAGTTGTCGACAACGAGGACAGTGACGATGATGACGAAGAGTGTAAGTTTTCGATCACGTGGCTCACTCCTCAATACCTCCTTCGATAGAATAAACAAAATAGAATGTATTTACCACTAGAATATGAAAATATACACTACTACATGTGTGTGTGTGTGTGTGTGTGTGTGTGTGTGTGTGTGTGTGTGTGTGTGTGTGTGTGTTTGTATGTGTGTGTGTGTGTGTATGTGTGTGTGTGAATGTGTGAGTGATGAAACTAGCGGCTGATTCGTGATATTTCCATCGAGTGAATCTACCGCTAGAACATGGAAGTATAC